GGGGCCGTACCCGATTCTTTCCCAGGAACGCATTTTTCGTCGCTGTTCCTATCCAATTTGGGGGAGACAGGGTCGTGTCATAGGACCCACCACTGTTTGCGTGATGTTGTAGCTTCACTCCCCTGTGGAGCACTCTCTTCCCTGAAGGGGTCGCGCTGTCTCGAGTCAGAAACGCAGAGTTATGGCTGGTCCTATGACGACTCCATCAAACATAGCATAGGATTAGCGGTTAGGGACGCGTCCCCTTGAGGGAAGGATAGGATATAGTCCCATATCTAACCCAACACTTGGTGGATAGCACACCACTAATATCAAGATGTCGCAGATTGCTACCGTTATCTATCTATCTATGCTACCGTTATCTTGGTTTATAACATCTTCTAGATAGAGGTTTAACTATTGTGATGGCAAAGCATTCAAAGAGCTTCCACTATGCGATCACATATGCAACCCGATTTCAAAATAATAGGAAAGAATACTAGGAAAATGAAAGCTAAAAAAAGTTGTGAAAGTCGTAAGTACGAAATTATGAATAAGAAGAGGAGAAATAAAGTACCGAATTTTGTTTTCAGTGTTTCGAATGCTGCTGTTATATCGGCATAAAGATTCTTCTCCGACGGCCTTCCTGTTGAACACCCGTACCCTGAAAAAGATGAACACCTGCACATCTGCCCAAATCCAAATAAATGCAATGAGAAAGGATAGAAAGAGATTTACCGGAATAATCGTAGCTAAACACATTACAACCAAGGCGATGGCCAAGGCCCCAGTAAAATGATGTCATTTGACCGATGTCTACAGCGTTTCCGTGTGAAAACAGTAGTGTAAAGTAAGCATTTGGTACAGGACGCACATAAACGCATGAAATTTTGTTTCTTCTTCTAGTTCTGAAAAACCAATTTTGTATGCGAAGATGGAGAGGTCAGCAAGAATATTACGCTCTCATTTAGCACACCTCGCCACAAACATCTCGACATTGGTAACAAGATGATCGGGATCATGAGGCCATTCCGCACGACCTTCCAGCAAATGTAACCTTGAAATAAGGAAATCTCAAATGTAGGTAAGATGCCAGAATAAAACACACCTATTGTTCTCCGTGATTGTGTAGCTGGATTCAGGTGGCATGAAAGCCAACTTCGAGACAATCGAGGAAGGAAAGGGCGGGCAACAGAACAAACAGCATAGATACCTGAACAAGAAATGGAGATCACGTTTATCAAAAACGTGGCATCGAAACACTCACCTTACTGAGACTCTACCAGCGGCCGGAGGGGAAGCCGCTCCCATCCCCACGTCGGAACCAGTACACTGCCCAGACATAATTTCGACTAAGGAACTGAACTGGTTGAAACCCTGTAATTGAACAGTGTCGAACCAGACCTCACACAATAAGAGCGCGACGCTGTAAAAAATCTCAAGGCTGGAGGCACTGTGAGTTCCGAATTCAAAAGAGAAAAGAATTCCGTTGAGTCACAGGATTACGTACTTCTGACTAATGATTAAAATCGCTACTATTGGGCGCTCTCATTGTCGGTCGCCGAACGTACCCACGAAAGCACAGCCTTAGGTACCTATCGATCGTCCGACCGTGCGTCACAATCGATACGTACCTAATGCTGTGCGATCGTTACGATCGGACGACCGACTATGGAAGCGCCCTTTAGTGCAGACCAATGACGATAGTCGGGCAGCAGTGTGACGACACACAAAGGCTATCCACCCCCGCTCATTGAAATGCCACCAATGTATTTTCCAATTCATCCCGAGAGATCATTTTTATGCAAACACAGCTATCCAATACCAAAATTTGATGAAACAAGAAAATGACAAAATCTTCAAAAGATGAGAAACTCATGCCTCAACAAATTCTTTTTTCGAGATTAATTTCGTTTTGCAATTTCCAGTTACTTCCTTTCTCTTTCTATGAGGAATGGCTTAGACTAAAATGAGATGTTAGCTAAATGAAGGCATAGTAGTTCACAAGAGCTAAAATGTACATAAGATCTTGTGCCAAATATGAAATCCTGGCGCTATTGCACTATAGGGGGCACCTTCTAAGACAGCCCAGGAGGGGATGGGAACCCCAGGAAAATAAAAATGGCTCACTCACTCAAGAGCCTCTCCCTAAGACTAAGCAGTCCAGACGAAAACGGACGCACGTGCTTTATGCAGGCCATGAATGCAACTCTACCACGAATACTTTCATCCCCCCGCCATTGCAGCGATAACGTCTAAATTCTTTCCCGAGAAAAGAAGGTAGGGATCAAAAGTGTCCAAGAAATTCGACAGCTTCTCGATCAATAAGAATATCGGGTCTCATCCAGTAAGGGGGGCGTCGAGTGGCTGCCCCAACCCCCACCCCCCTAGACTGCCTACACTCCCCCTGGCGCACAGGTTTCTCGAAGTACGGGACCCCGTAAGCCAGGGGGAGTGAAGGCAGTCTAGGGGGTGGGGGGTGAGGGCAGCCACTTGACGTTGCATCACAATGCCCCCCCTTACTGGATGAGACCCGAAATTCTTCTGGCAGCCGCGCATCAGGTAGTGGCGTCGGGGAGCATCAAGTGGCGCTGCCCATCCCCACCCTTAGACGGCCTTACACGTTCCCTGGGTGGCACAGCGGTTATCTCGCAAATACGGGAACCCCGTAGCCGGTGGGGAGGAGCAGGTCAAGGGTGGAGGTGGAGGCAGCTAATTGCCATTAGTACCACAAGCTCCCCCACGCCCCCCGCCCGCTACCCGGATGGAGCGCCATCTTACTGTTCTATGGCAGAATATTACAGGATAGATGGCTCCTTGAGCTTTTACTGAACTGAAAAAGTGTATCAGGATGGTTATTGCATGAAGCGCTCTTAGCGCTCTAGTGTCTTTAACAATAAGGTGTTAGAGCACAATTGTCGGAAGTCTTGCCTCGGTTTACCTCTCTTATGCTGGGATGCGTTCTTTGCTGAAGGAAGGGGGACAATAATGAATTTCTATGCCCGGTAAATGTTGCCTGACACAAAATTGTAACTTGTGCTGGAATACGGATGATGAATTAATAGCCAGCTTAAAGCCAAAGGGCACTCTATGTTGACAATAAATTTCCCCGTTAGTTCAAATTCAGCAATACCAAGGGAATCAATGATGCTGCTCAACTTGCGTTCTCACTGTTTGGCAACCAAAAGAAAGAGACATAGCAATGGCTTTGTTCAAATTCCTGTATACAGCTGAACAAACTTTACACTGAACTTATCCGTATTGGCTCTAAGTCTTGTGTTGGCTCGTTGGCTCACTGTCTCAACTCAATATTTGAAAAGCGTTCTAAAAGGATTTTCGAGAGCGTTTAATTTCCAACTTCCTTAAAATGGGAATTTCGAGCTCCCATATTGTCAAAACACATGTATTTGTAAACGGTTGAATCAATCATACGACCTCCCAAGCACCCTTCTTAATTTGCTCAACATAAATCCATTCGAAAACGACAAAAGTTCAGTGCACTTTGAACAGCACCACAATAGTTGAAGACGACATAAAATATATGCGACGGGGTAGTAAATGACATCACTTCAAGAGAAATCGATCAGAAGATGAGCAGGAAGTTTTTGCGGACGAAATCCGGTGGAGGAATGTCGCGAAGCCGCTGCGGCCGTCACATTACTTCACTTGGGCGCGGAAACTCGTCCGCGACAGCTTCGCGCCGCGTGTGGCGGCGGAAGTGAACTGCTGCTGGCGCTCACCCTTGTGGGCTTCCTTTTCTGACAACAGAAACTGTCATTTCTTCGCATCCACAGAGTCCCAGGATCGACCTCACCTCTACAGATTCCTAGAATCGACCCCACCTATCGCATAAAATCCTGAAATTGAATAATTACTGGGAGGCTGAGTTAGCGTTGAAATCGTATCTAAAGTCTGCACGAGAATGACAAATTATTCATTTCAACCAGATGGGAGGCCTGGATTGCCAAATCGCTCTGATAATTCGAAAGTAACGTTGACAAACGTGTCTCACAAGGAATCACCTAGGCGCTTCACTGTCACATCCCAGAAACAAGTTCGTCCTCCCAATTCTTAATGAATTAGGAATGTGGTAGCTCTTTCCAATTGAAGACAACCTCATACCAGCTTTCCCAAATCCTCCACCCATAGAGATGTTGCCCGACATTGTAGCAAAAGATCCGTCTTCACACGGTTTAGTGTTCCACCTTGGGCGTTATTCGAAGCATATTACAAAGGGTTTTCCCGTAATGCGCATAAGGGTCATCGCAGAGCACAGCTACAAGCATCCCTCGATGACAAAAGGAGCCATTCTATTTGTATTCTTTAACGTTTTCTCCAACAATGGATGGAGTAATTAGTGTCGCCAGCTCCGCTGGTGGACGAGTTTACACAGTGACGTGACTGGCGCGCAATTTGCCCTTATGTCATGCAGGCGCTCGCAGTCAGGTACTGTGAGGATGTTCTGTGAACTCTCTTCAGGTTGCGTTTTGTGTTTCAGCGATCTCCTGCAATTACGACGATAGGAATGTCTATCGAAGAATCGTCGACATACCGCCTTGGCAAACGGTC